GCTACTTGGGAGGCTCAAGCCAGAAAATCACTTGAACCCAGGAGACAAAGGTTGCAGTGAGCCAAGACAGTGCCACTGCACTCTAGCGTGGGCAACAGAGCCAGAAAAAAAAAAAAAAAGAATACATTCTAGGACCCCCTTAGGACCCCCTTACAGGTGAATTAAATCCACATTTCTAGAGAATCCAAGAAGTCTCAAAAACTCTTAAATCAGATTTTGAACAAAAACTACAGTGTAGCCCTGTAATTTTGAGAATACATGCCAAGGATTCTGACAACACTGAAATACACAAGAGAATTAATGCATTGTGATTTTCACAGAAAGGGCTAAATGGAAATGAATGCACAATTACATGAGAAAAGGAAATGTCACTTTCTAATACTTTAAGTATACTCAGCTGTTACAGAAAAGGTGAAAGAATACAGGAGGTATAAATAAAATAGCTTATCATGGTATTTCCCATGGGAAGTTTGATTGTAAGAGATCTATTCTGTGAAAGAAGACTACCATGTTATTGTTAAAGACTTGGAATTTGCATCAAGGCTAAATATATTCACATCCCAGCTCTGCCATGTGCTAGCTAAGTAACTTAACCTTTTTGGACCTCCTTTTCCTTGTCTAGAAAGCATAGATAATAATAGACCAACTCAACTCAGGGGTATTGTGTGAAGTAAAAGAGTTAATATAGGTATATATTCAATAAACATTAATTAATTAATATAGGTATATATTCAATAGGTAAATACTCAATAAACATTCTCCTTCCTCCTCTTCTTCTGCCACTCCTTTCTTTCTCACTCCTCTCCTTTCTCTTCTTTCTCCTCTTGTTTTACACAAAAAGAAGAGATAGATAAACTATTTGATTATAATTACACATTATTCTAAACTTAATATTATAAACATATAACTAGCAATATTTCAGTTGGGGATAAAATGATGTCTTTTCATAAGATCTTCTTATTATTTTTTTAAATTTAATTTTTGGTGTTTTTTTTATGGATGGGGTCTTGCTATGTTACCCAGTTTGGCCTTGAACTCCTGGGTTTAAGCAATCCTCCTGCCCCAGCCTTTGGAGTAGCTGGGATTACAGGCCTATGCCACCACACCTGGCTCTACATTGGATCATCTGCATTTTTAGAACAAGCCATTTCAATGGTCAATCAAAGATTTATCTTACTAAAGAGACCTAAATTTATAAGCTATCATTCTGTTTCAATCTTTTCATGTTCCTTTTTCCAAATTATTTAGAGAGCTTAGACTTTCCACTCAACTTTGAAGACTAATAAAACTTCTCCAATCAAATAACTATTCTGAAACTTCAAGAGGCTCTAACTGGACCTAATTTAAATGTATCAGGAAACTCACTGCACAAGTGAAGATTCATCAAGAGTGACTTAGCAGATTGTAACTCAGTCTGGGTCCTCTCAATGAGAAACCCTGTTGCGTGACTTAGGTGTCCAGCTGCTCAGAAGTATTTTATGCTTTCATATCAAAGATGAAAGAAAAATCTCCCTGAAACTGAATGTATAATCATGTCAGCAGTGGATTTCGCTAAGAAAATCCACCACTTTAACCCATGGAAATGACCCAGAAACACTCAGAGAGAACGTAATATAGTAACTGAAAAAGACAATGTAGGGTAAGTCAGTCACTTGTTTCTAGCTATTTATTGACTACTTAGAAAAATGACAACCTTTTTCTAGAAAAGTACAAACACCTAAATAAAAATGCTTTTAAGAACAGCCAATTAGTCACCAAAAAAGTAACTATGTGAAATGACAGACCTGTCAATCTGTTTTATTATTGTAACCATGATATTTTCTATATGTAGTTCCATAAATTCATGTTGTAAACATCAAATATACATAATAAAATTTATTTTAAAAAACAGCTGTCCAATTGAACCTATAAATTAAATCAAGAAATCAAATGTGCTAAAATTCTTTGCAACAATACAGAGAAATTTACAAAATTAATTAGCTTACATGTTTTTAAAAATCAACCTCAGTAAATGTTAGAAAATATTAAATTAGGCATACTTATTCATTATTACCTCAATCTTGCAAAAATGTTTATTAAACTGTAGTAAAAGGACAATTCTGAATTGTTTTCAACATGCTTAATTAACTCATGAAGTTAGATTTACACTGGTAATCCTTCCTGCATCTCCACATTCCATAAAATAAAAAACAACAGCACACTAACTTAGTAAGGATGCAGTAAAAAGCAATGTATGACTTCCTCTTAAGCACTCTTTGGAGGAAACATTTATCTTAATAGTTGTCAGGTTGGTCTGTTCTAATTTCACTTGAATGTTTTTTAGGAAAAGTGCTTTATTAACAACCAGAGACATAAAAAGAATTTGAAGTCTTATTGCGATATTTTGGAATTCTCATGAATGCTTGCTGCATATCAATTATGTCAATATCTGAGAATCCAACGGTTGACTCTCTAGTATACCAAAAATCCTACAGTTAACTCATAGGATTTGCTTAACAATTTCTTAGCATCATAAGGCCCGGATTTAAGAAAATCTTCAAAGTTTTATGATTCTTTGATGGCTCAAACAAAACTAAATATGTTCACTGGGATAATTGGTAATATTCTAGAAAACTCTTTATCAAAGTATGTTCCAAAAAGCATTAAGACTATGACATGCTACTCATAAAAAAAGTATTGGACGTGTGCAGTTGCTCACACCTGTAACACCAGCACTTTGGGAGGCTGAGGCAGGCAGATCACCTGAGGTCAGGAGTTTGAGACCAGCCTGGCCAACATGGTGAAACCCGTTTCTACTAAAAATACAAAAATTAGCTGGGCATGGTGGTGGGTGCCTGTAATCCCAGCTACTCAGGAGGCTGAGGCAGGAGAATCACTTAAACCCCAGAGGTGGAGGTTGCATTGAGTTGAGATCGTGCCACTGCATTCCAGCCTGGGTAACAAAGAGTGAAACTCTGTCTCAAAAAAAAAAAAAAATGTTAAGAGCAGTGGAGAAATGCCAGTATTCTTTATAATCATCATCTTGAAGATTATTCAGGATGCATGTTCTCTGAAAACAGAGATTTGTCTAAGCCTTGTTCACTCCTGTAGCCCCAAGTCAGCAACAATGCTTGGCAATAAGTAAGCATTGAACAGAAATCAATGAATGAATGAATGATCAGTTCTCCAGCAAGGAAATTTCTTTTTTCTTTCACCCTGAGTCTCTCATATCTATTTGATCACAAGAATTCTTTGTTTTTTGCTGTTAGCAGCATAGAATATTTTAGGTAAACAAAATAAAGAAAGAAGGAAAGAAAGAAAGGAGAGAGAAAGCATAGAGAAAAATCTAACAAATGTACATATAATGACAACCCATATTAAGATTTAAAGTAAAAGCAAAGTCTCTTGGGGACTCCTCCCCAGTTCCATTCACTTCATACCCCATCTCGTCCCTCAAAATGAGGTAACCCCAACACTAGGGCTTATGTCCACATGCTACTAACATCCTCCTCTGGGAAATTCAGAATTGAAGGATTGCTAAAGTCCCTTTAAGCCCTAAGATTTTAATTTATTTCTAGCTAATATATATTTTGCACATGGTCATTTGTAAATCTATCCACTTACTAAATTAATACAATGATGAATAAGAAACGAATGCAACAAAACACCACAAAACAGATGCAAGACAATGAGAAATTGATATAATAATGGTATTTATGAACAGACTAACTGCTCTCTTGTTCAGATGGATTGATATAAACTCTAAAGACATACATAGATATACACAATGTTCTGAAAAGGCATAGAAGCATTAGCTACTTAACCTAAACTGAGGGATTTAGAAACTATTCTCTACTATTATAGAGAAAAACAAACCTAACAATGTATATATTGGATTTTGACTTACTCAAGAAATTACCTAGGGTTTTAAAGACAAACCATGCTTAGATCAATGTCAAAACATGCTCCCATTTACATAACAGATGCTGCCAAGAAGAGGACATCCTTTTCCTGAGCTAAATAAACAATTACTAATGAAGATCTCTTCTATTAAGACCCAGTATACATGGACCAACACAGTTTAAAAGGAACAAGTTCTGGGCCGGGCATGGTGGCTCATGCCTATAATCCCAGCACTTTGGGAGGCCGAGGCAGGTGGATCACGAGGTCAAGAGATAGAGACCATCCTGGTCAACATGGTGAAACCTCGTCTCTACTAAAAATACAAAAAATTAGCTGGGCATGGTGGCGCGTGCCTGTAATCCTAGCTACTCAGGAGGCTGAGGCAGGAGAATTGCCTGAACCCAGGAGGCGGAGGCTGCGGTGAGCCGAGATCACACCATTGCACTCTGGCCTGGATAACAAAAGCGAAACCCCAACCCAAAAAAAAAAATGACTAAAAAAGGAACAAGTTCTATTTCTAAAAACGTAATCAATGTCGCTCACTATATTGTCTCAATAAAACTATTTTTCCCTAAAATTTTTGAGTACCTTTATAGATATTTCTAAATTGTCTTGGAAAACCTTTAAGTATGTTGCCAACAAGACATTCTTTCAAGTATCTAGTTTTTGTTCTTTGCTTCGAAGAACAGATAAAAAGACCTACCCAATGTATTTTCATACGTAGGGCTCTGCTTCTTAACTTTATGCGTAGAAGGTGCTGACCAAGCAGACAATTTAGTGAAACAAAATTGAACTCAATACATGTAGCTGTGTAGATAACTACACACAACTAAAATACAACAAGGAGTAGAACAGCAAAGAATACCAAGATGTGTGGTTGAATATTCCACTTTATCAGTGGTAATTGGTGTCACAGAGTTTTACAGACAAATACAAGGATGAGGATTTCATTTCACTTTCAAGCCAACCCAGTGACTTCTTCACATGTTAAATGCCAACAGAGAATAAAACACAACCTCACCTTTTATTTAGAAGCCCATATGGTCTTTCTCATACCAAAATAAATGAAATGAATTCATAGCTAAAAATGTTTATGAAAGAAAAGTGTCAATTCCTACCTCCATTATCTTTTAGATGTAGTGCTATCTTGGTATCATCTGGAAGAGAAATTCAAAGTTATTATAATAGAAGAGGATTGATTTCAAAGGAGCACAAATCTCATGACTAGTAATTGTCTACTAACTGCCTTGGTTGGAACATGACTAGATTTTGACAATTTATCCAGGTAATTTCTAGAACAATGACAGCACGTCCTTGCTTTACATTAGATAGATCTAAAATTTCCTAAAGAGATTGTAAAGTCAAGATTTTGGTAACATCTTGAATGATTCTTAAGATCTACAAGAAAAGTAAACACTTAAAACTTAAGATGCAACTATTTTTAATTCCCTAAAATCACTTATTGTAATTAGAACCTATAGTTATGATCTTATTTATTCATTTTTATAAATCAAGATCAAGGACATTCCAAATTAATTGTGATACTTAAGATCTGTCAATATTTACAAGTTCGACTCCAAAAGTTAAATGTTTATTCATTGCTAGAAAAGATGACCAAAATTCTATATAAAAAGATCTTATCCTGACCAAACAAAATATAGGCTATATTTGTTTCAGTGACTATATTTGACTTTAAAGGGCAAGGTTTAAATTATAGGAATATTTTCATGGGCTTTAATATAATAATCCAAAATAATATGGATTGAAATATAATGTTGCTTATGAAAGCAGTAAAATGCACTTAGCAGCTGCCCTTCACCCTACTTTATTCCAGTTTACCTTATAATATCAAATTAAATTCCAATTAAAAGCAAAGGTTCCAAATTTAATTTAATTTCCTATTCAAGCCAAAGAAAGCAAGGCTTATAACAATAAACAAGTAACATCCCTTTATCCCCCTCAAACCTGATTTGTGACCAATCTCATGCTTCTGCCCACTCCCTCCCGGTGGTATCATTCAGAATAGAAAATTATCATCTGTTGGGTAATACACCTTCTTCCTCCTGAGCTCTGCCCAAGCATTAACACTGTCTAGTATTTCTGCCTTCCCTAGAAGAGGATATATTTTTTAAGGACAATTTCTATGACACATGCAGTGTCCCTGTATAGGTTATAGACTATACAGACATATTTTGTTGACTGCATTCTGGAAAACATTAGAATTACATATGAATAGAACTATCTATTGTTCAGAATCAATGGAAATTTTATAGGCATTTGCCTTTCTAACCTGTGATTGTGAAGTTGGATTTGTTTACTACAAAATTTAGCCATATAGAAAGAAATCTGTATTTATTTTCTAGGAAGGAGAGGACAAGAAGCCAGAATCAGTGGTAAAAGCCATATCTTAAAAAAAAAAAAAGGCACAGTGTATTAAAAGAATCCCAGCATATACCTTTAGTTCATAATAATGTTGTCCTTTTCCCCCTTTAGAAATCCCTTAGAAATCCTGTTTGCCAAAAAATAACTTTAGAGAGATCTAGAGAGTAGGAGCGATTCCAGTGCATGTCAACACAGTGATTTTTCCTTCCTTCAGGAAAAAAAAGCAAACTATCTGTTGGGCACCTTCTGTTGGGAGGCTGGTGGGGAGCTGGGAAGTCACTGCTCTTCTGGTGGTGGTTAAGACCCTGAACTGGGTGGTTGTTGCTCGTATGGTTGTGGTGGTTGGAGAAGAAGTTTCCGCTGGTTCTGTATTCTCACACATCTTCTCCTTTGACTAGTAAGAGAAACGAAAAGGAAAACAAATGGAGTAATCACATGTCTACTTTAAGATCTTACATCAAAGAAGCTGGGCTGTAAAGCACAAAAGCCTCTCACATCAAGACAAGGAATAAATTACTTTTGCATAAGACTATATTTATGATTTTCCCAACTTACGAAGTTTACAAAATAGGAAGGAGAAAAAGACGGATGTAACAAGGCATTTCCATTTTTACATATTTAGGTTTCATCATTTACTGCTGTTAAACTTTCACATTACTGTTTATCTTGCCCTAAATTTTACATTGGTATATTTAGAAAAGACGCACTGCAAAAGGGAAAATTTATACTAGAAGAAAAACATGTGCATAAAGATAAGGTTTAAAACATACTCAGGTTTGTGAAGAAAGAGTACATTCCTTTCCTATCAAACCAAAAATGCTAAATCCGAAATATTTGCTAACTTCCCCATACTACTTCATTGTTTCAAAAATCATCTGTCGCGAGTTGATCGAATGTCTAAAATTTTGTTTTCCTTTATGAAATGTTCAAAACCACATAAGAAAAGGATTGAACAGAACTCCTGTAATCACTCAGTCTATCTTCTTCCTAACAGAGCTACATTGAAAACATCAGGAAAAGGGACATACTGCCCTTGAAACTTTTAATTTGTGAAAAGAAATCCTACAACCTTCACTGGTAACAATCTCTAACATCCAAACTTTTATAGCTTAGAAGTTGGTGTTTCTTTTTTTTTTTTTTTTGAGACGGAGTTTTGCTCTTGTTACCCAGGCTGGAGTGCAATGGCGCGATCTCGGCTCACCACAAACCTCCGCCTCCCGGGTTCAGGCAATTCTCCTGCCTCAGCCTCCCGAGTAGCTGGGATTACAGGCGTGTGCCACCACGCCCGGCTAACTTTTGTGTTTTTAGTAGAGACGGGGTTTCACCATGTTGGCTAGGATGGTCTCGATCAATTGACCTCGTGATCCACCCGCCTCGGCCTCCCAAAGTGCTGGGATTACAGGCGTGAGCCACCGCGCCCGGCAGAAGTTGGTGTTTCTATCCATCTTCTGTGCCTCAATGGACTCCCTCTCACTGGTAGGCCTTGAATAGAAAATAATTATACAGCACATGAGTGGTTCTCATCCCACATTTTAAAATTATTGTTAAATAAATAGCTTTCTTAAACTTCTCTCATCAGTGGAGCGCTAGGCACCTTTCCCCTTGTTAATGAAGATTCCTGAGACAGCCTCCTTTCATCAACAGGATATATAACAGGTTTGCTCTCCACTTCAAGTCCAAACATACCAGGGTCTCATTTAATTCCCCAAATTCTAGTTCCTGCACCTTCTGAGCCCCATTAATCTAATGATTTCCTTTCAGATACCACTTTAGTTGCCATCCCCACACCCTGGACCATGTCTGTAGTGGAAAATGTTTCAGATCTGAAATCGTAAGCTGAATTATCCTTTTTCAATCTATCCCTGCACCTGTGAACTCCAATTCTTCTTATACTTTGGTTACTTAGAAAGCCTAGCAAAATGATTTTTTTTTAGTTTCTTTTTTTCCCCATCACTTCAACCTCTCATTTCAATAGCTCCAAGCGTCTTGCTCTCTTTTTTGTTTTGTTTGTTTTTTTCTACAATATCTTTAAAGAACATACCCAATATGGTAAAAGATCTGCCTTTTCTCTGCCTGCTCCAGGGCCAGGCACAGCTGGAGAATAACCGCACAGACCCGCCACGGGGGTTCCACAAACTCATCTCCCGCATCCTCAGCCAGGCTGTCTATACCACTTGGCAGCACTGCTGTGTCTTGCTAATCTCCTCTCCCATTATGCTCAGTATGAATTTCAAACTCTCTCCATTTACTGAAAACTGCAATCCCGTCGTAATTCTCCCAGTTTTATACCTTTCATTTCCTTGATAAAGAGACATGATCAGCAAGATTTCTTTAAATTTTTTTGTGAATCAGCATACTTACTTGACTCTGGGCTGACCTATTCTTTTCTTTGTAATAATGGATGGGGACCTTTCCTTACAGCCATTCTTTCAACCTATGTCCTAGCCCAACTCAGCCCACCTTCACAGGTATTGTGAATTTGCTCATGTGATCATGGTCCTTTCTCTACAATAATTCTCTGCTGGCTTCTTACCAACAGCACTTAAAGCTACACAAGCGTGCCTAATCTTATTTTGCAAACTCAGTCCTTTCTCTTCTCTCAGTGCATCCTGACATTATAGTGCTTTCCCTCCATTCCTTCACAGTCATATTCCAGAGAGGTCAGTCTGCCTTGGTCTTCTCAGACTTCCAGCTTCCCCATTTATGACAACCTTGCTCTTTTCTAATTCAACTGAGATGAAATTTCTCATACCAGTGTTTCTAAATATGTAAGCAGCTTCCTCATCTTCCATGGTGTCCTACTGATACCTTCTCAGTCCATGGTGCAGATGTACACTCTTATTCTTGGTCTCTACGACACACATTCTCCTCAATGTTCTGATACCTACCTCACAACTCCATCTCAATTTCCTTTTATTTATGTCAATACCTTAAGTGTTGGGGTACTTCTTATGGATCATTCTTGATTTGTTACTTTATTCTATGCATTATCTTTTGCAATGTCCTCCACACCGATGACTGCAATGAACATCTTTATGCTGATTATTCATAAATCTGTATTTCCAGTCCACATTTCCCTTTTGTATTTCAGGCCCAAAAAGTCATCTATTGACCAGGTGTATGCATGTGAATGTCACAGACATCTCAAACTCAAGAAGCCTGGATTGGAACTTGCCATATATTTTTCTCTCCTTGTGTTTCTATTGTCAATGAACAGGACCTAACATTCAGTAAACAGGATCTAATGTTCAATAAACATCCAAACATTTAAGGTAAAATCCTGACTCAGATTGCTTTTGGCAGTAAAGGCAGACTAAGAAACTAAATAGCCCTCCTGTTGCAAAACAAATAGATTCTAAATAAAACTTGAATTTTAAAGCATTAGAATTTACAGGAAGTAAAGAATATCCCCAATGGTGCCTTTCCATTGTCTATTCCATTCCCCACTCAAAAAATAAAACAAAGCAAAAGCTATGTGCTATAAAGACAGCAGGAGCTGTATACATTTAGGGAAGTAAAAGAGCAGAGTTTGCCCTGAGGTAGCCAAAATCAATATTGCTCTGAAGAGAACAAGCCTTGTAGCAGAAGTAGACAGGGGAGATAAATCTGAACTTCTCCTCCTCACATAAAGGCAGAGACTTATGGTAACCCAAAAATCCCGAGGATCCCATCATCAAATCCTCTTTGGTGGAAAGCACCACCTATTTAGATGTTAGAATAGGAACAGACAAATACACACTAAGAAAGAAATAAAAATAGCTGTCTGACAAAGACAGCAAAAACAATGAACAAACTCTTTAGATCACCAAAACTTTAGATAATGGGATCATCCAATATGGAATATATAAAAATCATACATGGAATATTTAAAATCATAAAAGATAAAATTTAGAAATGCACTGTTCACAGGAAACTATAAAATACTTGGCAAATTTAATAAGCGTCAAATTTAAATTTTAGAAATGAAAAATAAATTGGTTGGAATTTCCACTTCAATGAATAGACTATATAGAACATTAAACAAGATGAAGGGAGAATTAATAAACTGGTAAACGTATTGGAAGAGATTGCCCAAAATACAGCACAGAGAAATAAGGAAACAGATTACATAAAACAGAGGTTTAAAAATATGAGAAGATGAAAATGTCAAGCTCTCAAAGAACTAAGAAGGTGAAAATAAAGAGAATGGAGAAGTATAGCTGAACAGCACATTTATCAAGTTTGACACCCAACTAACAAGAAAACACACATTTTTCTTGAACACACATAGACCATTTGTACAAATTTCCCATGTACTAGTTCATAAAAAAATTTCCAATCAACTTTAAAGATTATAGCATGTTCTCAGATGATAACTCAATTAGTTTAGAAGTCAATAGTAAAAAAGGTAAATGTTAAAAGTCTCCATAAATAGGAAATGTGATGTAATTCACAATTCCATGTATTTCCAATAAAAATGTTAATAAGATGCATTTATTGATGAATTACAGATCTTGACAAGGCGAGTCTAAAATTTATATGAAGGACAAAAGTCCTAAAATAGCCAGAACACTTGTGAGGAATAAAAAGTAAGGAGATTTGTCCTGTAGATAGTAAGATTTCCTATAAAACAATAGTAATTAATAAAATGGGACACTGATCTAGGTACTGAGGGAGCTTCAGAAGAGGAGGGGCCAGAAAATATACATAAAAGAGGCGGCTTTGCAAGATATTGCCCACAGAAAGGCTTATTTAATAAATGGTGCTTGAAATTTGGCTATCCATCAAGAACCCCCCCCACAACAAAACTGAATCTCTATCTTATATAATACATAAAAATCAATCACAAATGGAATATATTTTGATGTGTAAGGCAAAGCTTTAAAACATTCAGAAAAACAATTTATAAACCTAACACCTAGATGATATTTGGTAGAAAAATTCTTTTAAACAAGATCCACAGACATATAAAACTCATCATAAAAATAAAAGATTGATACATTTGACACACTAAATTGATAATTAATGTTAGTCAAGTAAAATCATAGAGAAAATTAAAAGAGAAACAAAATTTGGGAGAAAACATATGGACTCCCGTTACATATATATGAATACGTATATGAATTATATTCTCAATCTTTATGCATATACAGATATTCATTTTCAACATTTTATATTGTAATGATTATATGAAAGAAATGACTGTCTCAAAACACAACTATGGCTTTGTCAATAGATATTCTTTTGAACTACATTATTAGATAATTGAAGCGAGATGGATGAGTACACACTGCTGTCACTTCCTGAATGAATGTCAAGAGGTTGATTAAAACTGTGCTGGCAATACTGCATTTAAAGTGCAAGAATGTTCTTAAGAAAATGTATTTCTCAAGATCTTTTTTTTTTTTTTTTTTTGAGATGGAGTTTCACTCTTGTTACCCAGGCTGGAGTGCAATGGCGCGATCTCGGCTCACCGCAACCTCTGCCTCCCGGGTTCAGGCAATTCTCCTGCCCCAGCCTCCTGAGTCGCTGGGATTACAGGCACGTGCCACCATGCCCAGCTGATTATTTCTCAAGATCTTTATGAGACATGCCCCCCAGAAAATGAATTTTAAAGAGCCTTAGTAACCACGGATCTAATAGTTTTTAAAACAGCATTTGGTATGACTTGCTTTGCTAAATAAAAAAATTTTTTGTAACTCTTAATAGTTTTAATTCAAAATTCTTACCCTAAAACTTAATGAAGGGAGAAGAAATACATACTTTTCTTAATAAAATTTATAGAATATCTTTATATGATCCTGAAATTATAGTATAAATACAATTCGCCAAAAGCTTTTAAATGGGTTAAAATTGTTTCTGCAATGCTTGGTCAAATCACTTCACCGCATCCTTATCTCTACCATGTTTCCCTCAGAGTTGATATTATACCATTTCTCTATGCCAACTAACGTTATACAATTTCTCATTTATTATAGCACGCCAATTTGCTGCAGTTTTCCACCCCACACAATACCACTGGTCTTGCTGTTTGAACTACAAAGAGGAACACTAGCTTGGTACATCTGAGTTAAATAGCAAGCGTTTAAGAGAACTGGTCTTTACTCATACAGATTCCAATCCTGGCACTCCTCCCAGCCACTAACCTGACTCTCCAAGAATCCACACTCCACCCTTCCCCACAAGCTCCCCTCACTCCTTCCTTTTCTTTCCTTGGTAATGTGAGGGTACTGACAGTGCAGGCACTGTTCTTCATAGAACGAATATGAGAACATATTGAGATAACGCATATGAATAGTTAAGCCCAATGTCTGTATATAGTTGAGGCTGTAGCAAGTTGCCACAATGCTAATGAAAATGGTATCTAATTTAACAAAAATAACCAGCAGTTATTGAACCCCTAATAAGTACAGACATTGGGCTTACAGAAGGATTCTTCTCTTTCATTAAGTTTTAGGGCATGCATATTGAATAAAAATTATTATCAGTTACAAACACCGGTCCCAGGATTCTGTCACAATAAAGCATGTGTACCTCTTCAGGGCATCCACTGTCCACCCAGTCCTGCCGATGACGATCAAATCCACTGGAACATCTTCAAAGAAGACCACATTGCAGTTCAGAAAAGAAAGGATGGGGTGCAGGGTGGTGGACAGAAATTAAAAGAAAAAGATTAGTAAGTAGTTCATTCTCACATTTTCAGTTTAGCATAACATTAACTCTTCTATAGAACTGGCAACTGGAGAAGCAGTGAAATATTTAGAGGGTTATTAAGTAATCACTCCCTCCTTGAGGTGTCACTGTTAGGATCACACATGGCAACAAAATCACCATTAAGGCAAAGCGCACAGTACAGAATACCTAGATACCTGCACACAGATAAGACCAACTGCTATTCTATGAAGTGGATTTTCTTTTACTCTGTATTTTTTTTCTCATCATTAAAACAAATAAATACAGGCTTTTTTTTTAAATATAGTATTTCATGATTTCAGGTTCATTCCTTCATTCAAGACCCACCATCACACAAACTCTTCCTCTATTGTGCAGTAAAATGTTAACTTAGCAGTTGTGGGGTTTTCAAACCCTGCATGTTCCAAAGAAAAGACTGGCCCTTGACCTTCTCTTGAGGGGTAACCTCTCATCTCCTGGACTATCCTGCCTATTAAGAGTGTCTACCATTGGGTCTTGTGCTATGTGGATAGTTTATGCTGACAATTTGATTTATTGTGAATGTCTGACTTTATTTACATGGCCTAGGACCCTGGGCCATTCTGAAACAGTTTGACTCTTGGGAGAGCTGAAAACTGGAAAAGATTAGTCACAGGGGCATTCTATCCCAATGGATGAACCCTTAATAAAAACCCTGGAGACCAAGCTTGGGTGAGCTTCCTTGGTTTAGCAATACTTGTTGTCTGTTATCGTACATTGTCATTGGAGGAATTAAGTACTATCTGTATAATTTCACTGGGAGAAGACAACTGGCAACTTGTACTGGTCTTTCCTGGATTCCACCCTATGTGCATTTCACCTTTGCTGATTTTAACTCATCTCTTTTTCCTGTGACAACCTGGAGTATACAGTTTTTCTGAGTTCTGTGAGTCTTTCTAGTGAATCACGGAACCCAAGTATCTTCTTGGGGACACCCAATTGCACTAGAAATACATCATGTCTAAAAGCATCATGTTACTAAGACTTTGTTCACTCATACTGTCTTCCTTAACTGAAATAATTTTCTGTCTTCCCTACCTACCCTTACAGAGCCCAATAATTCTCCAAGACCCAGAAATTACTATCCAAAGTCTGATAAAGCATTGCTACCATAGTTATTCCTTTTAGAAGATTTCAGTTATCTATGGTTAACTGTTGTCTGAAAATAAGTGAGTACAGTACAATAAGATATTTTGAGAGAGGAAAAGTTATATTCATATGACTTTTATTACACTATATTGTTATAATTGTTGTACTTCATTACCAGTTTTTAATTTCCATGGTGTCTAATTTGTAAGTTAAACTTTATCATTGGTATGTATATACAGGAGAAAACATAGTATATACAGAGTTTGGTATTATCCATTAAAAGTCTTGGAGAAGGGGGGCTACTGTATTGCTGTGATCACAACTTACTTTAATATTATTTCCTCCTTTATGAAAAATCTCATGTATTTATGTCTTAATTACCAAACTTAATTGAGAATATTTGAAACCTAGGGTCTTATATTGATCATATTATCCAGTATATCTGACACAGAGTATCTTTTTCATGTGAAAAATTCCAACTATTTTGTCAGTCCACTGACATTTAAGACATACATTGACCCTCAATATTAATATATAAACAAGTCTGATACACTTTGGCTGTGTCCCCACCCAAATCTCATCTGGAATTGTAGCTCCCATAATTTCCTTGTGTTGTGGGAGGGACTTGGTGGGAGATAATTGAATCATGGGGGCAGTTTCCACTGTACTATTCTCATGAGAGGGAATAAGTCTCACAAGTTCTGATGATTTTATACAGGGTTTCCCCTTTTGTTTGGCTCTCATTCTCTCTTGTCTGTGCCATGTAAGACGTGCCTTTTGCCTTCCACCATGATTGTGACGCCACCCCAACCATGGGGAACTGTAAGTCCATTAAATGTCTTTTTCTTTATAAAGTTCCCAGTATGGGATATGTCATTATCAGCAGTGTGAAATGGACTAATACAATATATCTAAATATAATATATAAAAATCCATTTAATTAAGTTACTCTAAATAAATACCTATATAGTTTTCAAAATAAATGAAAACTGTTCAACTTTTCCCTTATATTTTCTTACAGTGTTACAAATTTCTCACAGTGTTACTTTGTAACCTTTTAAAAAAATTTTAACTTGTTTTGCCAAGAGTCCACATGATAGCTCTTTCTAATCCTTGCCAGAGATTATGTACCACGGGATGAACAAGCATAATTTAATTCAAGTGGAATGTGAAAACAACCCTCCTGTCAACAAAATGGACCGTATCTCTCATTCTCTCAGACGTGATCCATTGAAGTTAAGCTATTTTATGCCTACCATCTGTACTGAACAAGCTTAAGTGTGGAGTAAACATCAGTGTGGGATTTGACATCCCAAATTTGAGAATCCCCAGTTGGCCAACGCCATCTCGGGTTACCCAATGAGATTCTGATGAGTTGTGTCTAATTCCAGATGAGTTAGATGAATGCTCCTTCCTATATTTTCCTTTCGAGTGTCTAAACATTGAAGAATGTACGGACATTCTGTTTTGGAAGATGGGGAGGTATCAATTTTCTACCAAAAAAAAAAAAATTTCTTGGGAGCCACCTGATTTTTGTTCCATTGAATCATAACCGTAATTCAATGGAACAGAACTTTCTTTAAACATGATTTGTATTCACTTATTCTGTTTCAAATATACCCAAAGTCAATGGGATGTACTAACTTTTACCTTATATTTTAATGAGACAGTGCCAAATCTTAAATTTGCATATCAACTGAAATTTTATCTTGGAATTAGTCCTTTACATTGTTAAATTAATCCCAGGGAAAAGCACAGAAATGCAGTTTGCTTGATTTATTAAATAATCACCAAATTATGTTGTGTGAAATTAGGTTCTACTGAAAATATGAATCAATTAAGTAATTCAACATTGATTTATTGACAATCAATTTCTTAATAATTGAAATTTACTAAGGGCTAGAGCAGAAAAAACAGAAACGCAAAACAAGTAAGAGTTGGTTTGAAAAGGTCATGCTTTTTTGTAGCATATAATGTCTTAAAAATGAATAAAACTGGATCCTGTCATTTTAGCATTTGTTAGAGCCCAGTAATCTAAATAGCATCCAAAATCAATTATAAGCACAAGAATGTGTGTGTGAGACAAAGTTGTATAAACCACTAAAAAAAGTCACCTTTATATTATTTCTGCATTCTAAATAAACCAAAAATCGCTTTTGAGAACACTTTCCTGTCTCCGCTGAGCTGCTCTGTATATGCGCTTGTGTGTGTGTGTGTGTGTGTGTGTGTGTGTGTGTGTGTGTGTGTGTGTGTGTGTGTGAGCTTCGTGTGTATGTGTCTGTGTTTATAGCACAATCACATTAACCATGTCACTCTCCAGCACATTGTTTTCCAACATTTTTAACTGTTATTCACAAAAAGGATCTCCCACATTGCAATCAGTCACCTGGGATTCCTGTCCAAATGAAAATTCTTGGGTCTAACTGAATAAGATTCTCTGACAATTGGGACCCAGCCATGTTTATTGCAAACAAACACCTTCAGGGCATTCGTACCACACTGACTTCCTGTACAATATGTTCAGGCCTCTTGCTCACTCCTGTAGCCTATGCTCTACAACCCATTCGTACCCTCCTTTTGCTCTGAGAACGGCAAATCTTTTTCCCTTCCATGAAGGTTCTATGCTCTTTCACGATTCTGCCTTTGAAAACACTATTACATACAGCTGGCCTACCCAACTGGCAAACCCAAACCAACTCAACCCCAATCTCCTCCAAGAAACAGCTCCTCACCTTCCACCCAGCAGAGTCAGCAACCCTTGCTCAGAGATGCCCCAATACCAAGTGCAAACGTCCACTATTATACTACAATTAGTTGCTTTTGAGTTTATCTTACAAAGCTTTCAGGTTAGTTAGTATTTTGGCTTGGGTATAAAATAGGTGTGTGATCTTGTTATTTTTCTTTTTCCTTTTTATTTTTGAATGATTTATTGTATGTCAATAAATTACTACTGTATATATTTACGGGGTAATATCAGATAATATGTGATACGATACATGTATGCAATGAGAAACGATTAAATCAAGCTAATTAATATAATCATTATCTCAGATACTGATCTTTTTGTGATGAGGACGTTTGAAATTTACCCCCTAAGCAATTTTGAAACATATACTAGACTACGTATATAATACACTATAGTCATAGTATACAATATGTGATATATATGTACAGTGAAAATATACAAATACTCAAAAGATACAATATGCTATACTGTTTTGTGCAATAGATCTTAAGAAATTTATTCCTCCTGTCTAACTGAAATGTTGTGCTCTCAAGTTATTTTTCCTTTCTAACCTGTTTCCTCATCTGCAAAATGAGGTGGAGGAGGTTACATAAGGATTAAAAGTTCAGTATTTGTCTAGTAAAGATTAAGTAAATGTTAGCTGGTTTAATATCTAATTATACCTTTATACCTAAGAATACCTTTGGTATATGGTATGCATGTACCAAATTTGACTATCATAGAAAAATGAATAAATGAAGTTTTCACTTCATAGACAGGATTTAGAAAATGTCTAGGAATTAATTCTATGTATCATATTAATGTAAGATGTGTTTTATAATATAAAGTTCCTTATCATATTCTGGAATTAGTATCATAGAATATTATGAGAGAAAAATATACGTTGCTCTCACATATGGGCCAAATCTTTATTCAAAATGGACAGAAATTACATGGTTTTGTACATATTTCTCACATAATTGATTTCAACAAAATATGAAATCCTAACTAAAGTTTTTCATGTTTTTATGTCCAAGTTATTCTCTTCTCATAATTATCTAATTCCAAAA